GGCATAAACACATACCTACACACACAGGTATGAGTTAGTTAGCATGAAAAGCTAAACTGAGACCTGAATAGATTAATACTTATGGTAATCAAAACATAAGCATTAACAGGCAATTTTTTTCAAGCTAAAAATTAGCTTTTGGGATTTTGTGCAAATAGGCATAATATCAATGTTTGGGGAGACACCAAGCTTTCAGAACAAAAAGTGGATCGTCCAAAAAATGTTTGGGTATTTTGAAAAAAAAAAGCACAATATATACAGCAGTATACACAGACATTACTAAGTAGCTACTATGGTAACTTCATTGACTATTTGGTAATAGAGTGTAAGTATAACTACATTGGCTCTAAATGATATCTGGATATATAACTCGTACGGTAGAAGAAAATCTTAGTTTAGAAAGATGTTATTAGAAATCTGCCCAAAGTATGTACTTAGAGGCAACCATTTCTAACCCAAAGTATGCCTCTATTTATTAATTTATTCCGTCCTTAGCAAAACAAACTTCAACTGTCTCCAAATTGAGACAATTTTATCTAGTAAAAAATATTCACTTTTTTAATGATTTTATATTCTGAATTTTAACATTTATGTTCTGTGTGTGCAATGACTCTTTGAAAGTAGCTGTTTCAAGGGCAGGATTCATGTTTGAAGTAAATGTAATAGACTGCATATTTAACGTATTTCATTTACATTGTATCACTAATGATAGGAGTTGTTGCTTTATACTTTTATCTAGTGATATTAGATCTAAACAAGTATGAAGGTGAAAGAAAAACAGTGTTCATAAATTTCTCTAAAGCATTGATTCAGCAAATACTTAAGTATGTTCCCGTATTTAAATGAGAATTAACATATTTTGTGTTTAATACCTTTCTGAAGAAATAAATTAGAAAGAGATCTACATCCATAGATCACTTATAAATGTAGAGGTAGATGTGTTTATTTTAGATATCTTTATTATAATTAAACATAAATATATGGTTTTGCAAATCAACCTGTTTGAAAAATACCAATTAAAATAATAAAAGAATGTACTGAATTTGTGAGCATAAAAAGCATAGGGAGGGACAGCATACTTTCTGCACAGAGGACTGGCAAAGTAATAAACAGTTTCTACACAGAAAATGTACCATTTAACTGGCAGAGTAAAGTTCGTGCAGTAGGAAATTATTTTAAGGTAGAGAGTGAGAGATGAGAAAGTTTTACTGAGATTTTACTGAGATTTGACAATAAATTGAAACTCAGTACAGAAAAAAATTGGAAAACTTTAATAAAAGGTTTTAATAAAGTGGGGACTCTCATGGCTTGATTGAATGTGAAGGAAGATAATTTTGGCTGTTGTGGTTTGAATAGAATGGACAAGGATGATGTATTAACAAGATGCCCTAGACAAAGTGGTTACAGTTGTGATGGCAAAAAATAATAAGGATATGAGCAAGTGTTTTAGGTCTTGTTTTGACAAAGCATTTAACTTTGTGTTTACCTTTGGGGATGTATTTTAAAACTCCACTGACTTATATAATGCATAAATGTTTTGCTGCTTCAGAGTGGGATTTTAACCTTTGGACTGGAAAGGAAGAGACAGGTTTTTACAGTTGTGGAAAAACAAGGAGCAATATGAATGTCAGCCTGGTTATATGAGTAGAACAGGAATGGCTCAAAGATGAAAATGCTTAGTTCTTGAATGTTATAAACTTACTGGGATTCTTTTTTTTGCACCTTTTAGTGTTTTTATCTTTTGTCTTGCGATTAAACCTTTGCTGTTATTGTAAAAACCTACATTCCACAAATGTTACTGTAAAATGAATCTATTGTACGCTGTCCCTCATTTTATTAGTTAGACCATTTTCTAGTAAAATAGAACAGTATACACAGAAGAGAAATACTTGAAAATAAGAACAGCTTGAAAGAAATGAACCCAGGCAGTAACATATAAGGTCTTTAGTAAAATAGATCGTTCATATTAGAATGGTTTGAGAATCCTAATCATCATGATTTTTTTTAACCTAATAACAGTGAACAGCTTGTGAGTCACCATTATAAAAATAATGCCCTCCAGCAATAGCAGTGTCAGTGTACAGTTTTGTAGAGTGGGAATGCTGCCAAAAAGAATTACAATTTTTACATTATCCACTGGTATGGGTTTTTTTTTAAATATTTGGAAGCACCTTTTCATATTTCTTCTCACCTATTCCCAGGAGGCCAAATGCCCCGGAATCTACAAGGGCATTTGCCTTTATGACAAGTCTAGAAGCTTCTTGTAAATGTGTCTCTTGCTGGCATTCCACGGGTGACCTACCACTGATCTTTAACAGACTTTTATACATGCAAGTACCATAGAATTGGGTTATTTTTGTATACAGCTGTAAGACTAATTGTTCCTAAAATGTAGTGCAGCTTCAAAATGGAATCTTGCATTGTGACTGGACTACATAATTTAACGTTTGAAGTTATACAGAGAATGAGTGATTCGGCCACAAACACAGCTTTAAATGTTTTTTCTACATACCTTGAGGTGCCAGGCATGGCTCATGAACACTGAGATGGTGGGGCAGATGGAGCATACCACAGGAGTGCTGGGGGAGGGGAGGCCTGCGTGCTTGGCAATGGACCTGGAAGTGGACCGGAAGTACTTCGGGTCCAATGCCGAGATCTCAGCCCCCCCCCGCACTTCTCTGGCTCAGTGATCAGCTGAGGGGGACCCTGGGTGCCCCCCAGACCCAGGAGGCACCAGTTGCCAAGCTGGTGGCAGAGGAAGGGTCACTTGCGTGTTCTGTGGCGGACCCAGAAGTGGACCAGAAGTGCTTTTGGTCCACTTCCAGGTCTGCCGCCGAGTGCACTGGAGACTGCACCCCTCCCGCGCTCCCGTGAGATGCTTCATCCACCCCAGCATCTCAGCATTCATGAGCTGCCTGGTATGTTGAAGTATGTAGAAAAACATTTAAAGCTGTGTGTACGTCTGAATCATCAAAACTCTCCAAATCGCTCCAAATCAATTCAAGGTGTTCCAATTCAATTCAGAGAGATTAAAGGGTGTCCTGATTCAGTTCAGATTCAGAGATCCAGTCACCGAATTGGACCTAATCACCACTGAATTGAATGAGCGACCGAAGCTTTGCACAGTCCTACTGGACATATGAATTTAACCTTTAAATAGGTTTTCCAGTCCATTTATGGTCTTGAACAGGCATTCATTTCTAGCAGTAGAAATTTCTGAGAAATTACCATGAGGAGATATCCTTCTGGGAGAGGGAACAGTACAGGTGTGCAGCCTGCAGCCTCCCCTTCTGCCCTGTTCTCCATGCCTTACACAGGTTGGGGTGATCCCAATCTGGGGAAGGCAAGGGGAACACTGACTGCTCCACTCCTTCTCACTCCTTATATATATAAAACACAGGTACAAGGAGTTCCCTTCTAGATTTGCTTTTAGCTCTAATAAATCATCCTTTCAAAGAAAGACATTTAAAAAGAGTTTTTGATATCTTTCTTCAATTAATTTTTTTATTTTATTTATTTTTTGCCACTAATGAAATCTTTATACTTTTGGTAAAATACTGGTTACATAGAGATCAGTGAATGCTTGTCATTGACTGAGGGGGCCAGGATTTCACTTAGTGCTTAGACTTTTTGGTTGTGGTCAGTACAATAGATACTTCATAGTATAAGAAATAGACTTATGGTAACAATGGGTACTGGGCTTAACAAAGGGCTAAAATAGAAATCAACTGAAAAAGAGGATATTGAGTACTATGTGTTGCTCAATATACATTACATTAAATAACAGGTAAATTAAAAAGAGAAGTTGGAATAATATTAGACAAAATCTGAGAAACAAGGTTCAAAATGATCTCGCCCTTAATTTTATTCTTATATATATGATCTAACATATGGTTGGTTATTGGTATAATAAATATTTGGGAAAATTGTACTTTGTTATATTCCAGATTTACTTAGGGAAACTGAGACAGCAGGTCTTGGTGTCTGGCTTTGAGGAGATGGTAATCAGAATTAATGTGCATTTTTGCTTGTGGGACTTGCCTATTATTTCAGGTCTAAGAAGACTAGTATATCAAGAAGAACTCAGGAGAGAAATGGGTCAGAGTAGGAACAGATTGAATATTTTAACTAATTTGTTCTTTTTCTCTCCCAGTTTTAGTAAACAGAAATATGAATTCTTCTAAGCATTCTGAACATGCTATGTTTTTAGTGTCAATGATTAGAATGACTGAAAGGAAATAGATGTTTTATCCAGGCTGCAGTGATCAGCATTGTCATTGCCTTGAATTGTCTGTGGTGGTGATAAAAACTGAATAATCAGCATGTTATTTAAACCCAAGAGATTATTTTTTCTGCTATGTGACCTCAAGTGTCATCCAGAAGGACCTGCTTTTGCTGAGTCATAAAAAACTGATATTAAACATTTAATTAAACAAAAGCCAGAACTCAGAGATATTTAGTGCATTATCTCTTCCCTTCATTTATGTGTATTCACTGTTTGTTTTAACTTCAAACAGTTGAAATGGAATATTCACTCATTTAAATATCTCACAAAAATTTCAAGTCACCTTGTCCCCAAGTTATATTATTTTCAACTGAATAAAAAGTTAGTAGTGATGATTATTGCATTATGCTCAGAGGATGAAGAAATATTTTAAAGAAATAATTCCACCTGGCTTTTTTTTTGGCTTAGGCAGTATTCTTTCAGTACAAAAGGAACTACAGATAATCTATTCTTTAGTTTTCTTTCTGAATTCATTCTTTCATGTGCATAAACTTAATGTCTGGTGTTGAAGTTAATATTTGGCATGCATTACTAACTTTTAGTTAGTAATTAATTATGCTGATTATTTTTTCTAATAAAGAATTGATATCACCCCTTAATAAGAGCATGTGAGTATGAATATTTTTACAAAATAAACAGGTAATAGATTTCAGAACTTTTGCAAATAAAATTTGTTTCTTAGTATTTGATCTCGCTTTATTTCTCTTTCTTCTAGTCTGCTCCCAGTTTTCAAGAGGAGTCTTTGCTATTTTTGGATTCTATGACAAGAAGTCTGTAAATACCATAACCTCATTTTGTGGGACTCTGCACGTCTCCTTCATAACTCCAAGTTTCCCAACAGATGGAACACACCCATTTGTCATTCAGATGAGACCCGACCTCAAGGGAGCTCTTCTTAGTTTGATTGAATACTATCAGTGGAACAAGTTTGCATATTTATATGACAGTGACAGAGGTAAGGTACAGTAGAAACTTATCGGTATAATTTTTTGCTATACTTACATTACCAAAATGCTCAGGCAGTATTACAAGGCAAACAAGGAGCATCCTTTTGAAAAATTAAATATCATTTCTGAGGAAAAGAAGCTTATCTAATTGTTGTATGTAGTCAAAGTGAAAAGGAGCTTAATCGAGAATGAGATAATTCCAATATAAGTTAAAGAATTAAGGATGTGCACTGATAAGCATAGATGGAAGATAAAATATGTCTTTGGAAAATTGTTCCCATAAAAAGGCTCTTTAAAAATAGATATATTGTAGAGGGGAAAATACATCTTCACATTTTTAGCATCTCTGTGTCTCACTCTTTAATTTAGAGCATTCATAAATTCCCACACTCAGATTTTGAGCCACCTGCCAGTTATTTGGGCTAGGGACAGATGTTACACATAAACCAGTTAAGTCATCAGAAACTGGTTTAAATCTGTAACAGAACAGAAGCTCAGTGCATATAAACCAGTTTCAAAATGACTGAAACTGGTTTAAGATAACCCTGGTTGAATGCAGGTTTAAATCAGACTTAAATAATTTGAGTCAAACTGGTTTATGAAACTTCTGTCCAAGACCCCTTCCTGGTTCAAGTTAAATCAGTGTCCCCCAGCATCCCAGCATGCTTTGCAGCCCTCTGCTGGGCTGTCTGCTCCAGCAGAGAAAGGGTGGGGGTGAGGGGTGGCAGGGACTGCCCCCTCAACAAGGAAAACCCTGGGTGGGTTCTGGGGCCAGGCAGGGGGATTAAACCCACCTTCCCCCAAGTACAGAGCTGCCCTGCTACTAAACTTACTGAAAATTACTGGTGGCTGTGACTGTGGACTACAAATCCCAGAGGTACCTGGCAGCAGGAAGAGGAAGTGATGAGCAACCCTCCAGAGTCCTGCTGTTGTGATTCTGTACTGCAAATTCCAGAGACCTCAGGGGCAGCAGGAAGAGGAAGTAAACACACACGTGCTGGCTATGTGCTTTAGTGCCCCCGGCTTCTGGGCTGAGCCATTGCAGGCATGTGGCTGTATTTCCTGAATCAAAAGTAAATGTGTGTCCAATTGCTTCTCAACTTAATCTCTGCAGTTTAGACTAACCTGCAAAGACTGAATCAATTCAGCCTTGGGCTTTTTGACTGCGTGTACTTAACCTGAAAGTTACAGACTCAAAAGCAAACTTCAAATATATATTTTTCTACTGAAGAGCACATCCAAATTCAAGCACTACAATAAAGTAGTTCAGTCACATCCATCTCTTCTCACTGTAATCCTCATGTCCTTTTCTGCAGAGCTGCTGCCTATCCACCTAGACCCCTGCCTGTACTGGTGCATGGGATTGTCTCATCCTAAGTGCAGGACTTTGCACTTGTCCTTGTTGAACCACATGAGCTTCCTTTTGACCCAATCCTCCAATTTGTCGATTTCTCTCTGAATCCTAGCTCTACCCTCCAGCATATCTACTACTCCCCACAGCTTGCTGTCATCTGCAAACATGCTAAGGGTTCACTCTATGCCATCTTCCAAGTGGTTGATGAAGACATTGAACAAAATCAGCTCCAGGACTGGCTGCTGGGGCACTCCACTTCATACCAGCTGCCAACTAGACCTCGAGCCATTGATTACTACTGTCTAAGCCTGATACTCTGCCAGTTTTCTATCCACCTTACAGTCTATTAATCAAGCCCATACTTCCTTAGCTTGCCTGCAACAATGTTGTGGGATACCACATCAAAAGTTTTGGTAAAATCAAGGTATACCACATCCACCAGTCTCCCCAGATTCACAGAGCCATTCATCTCATCATAGATGGCAATCAGGTTGGTCAAGCATGATGTGCCCCTGGTGAATCCACGCTGACTGTTTCTAATCACCTTCTTCTCCACCAAATGCTTAGAAATGGATTCCTTTAGGATCTGCTCCATGACTTTTCCAGGGACTGAGGTGAGGCTGACTGGTCTATAGTTTCTTGGATCCTCCTTTTTCCTTTTCTTAAATAAGGTCACTATGTTTGCCCTTTTCTAATCATCTAGGACCTCTCCTGATCACCAGGAGTTTTCAAAGATAACGGCCAGTGGCTCTGCAAGCACATCAGCCAACTCCCTCAGCACCCTCAGGTGCATCCCATCCAGCTCCATGGACTTCCCTAACCTGTTCTTTCATCACTGAGGGCTTCTCACCTCCTTCCCAAACTGTGTTGCCTGGTGCGGTAGTCTGGGAGCTGACCTTGCCTGTGAAGATGGAAGCAAAACGGCATTGAACATTTCAGCATTTTCTGCAAACTCCATCACAAGGTTGCCTCTCCCATTCAGTAAGGGACCCACATCCTCCTTTCCCTGATCCTCCTTTTGCTACCAACATACTTGTAGAAACCCTTCTTGTTACCTTTCACATCCCTTTCTAGCTGCAACTCCAGTTGTGCTTTGGCCTTCCTGACTTCATCCCTGCATGCCCATGAAATGCTCTTATATTCTTCCCTAATTCTTTGTACAAGTTTCTTATAAGCATTTCCATTGGGATGGTTTGTTCCTGCACTCTTAGTAAGGCTTCTTTAAAGTAAAGCCAGCTCTCCTGGACTCCTCTTCCCCTCAGTCTGGCTTCCCAGGGAATCCTGCCCATGAGTTCCCTGAGCAAGTCAAAGTCTCCTTTTCTGAAGTCCAGGGTCCTTCCTCTGCTGCTCTCCATCCTTTCTTTCCTCACGATTCTGAACTCAATAATCCTTTGGTCATTGCTACCCAAGTTGCCATCCACTACTACATTCCCCACCAAGTCTTCCCTATTTGTGAGAAGCAGGTCAAGAATAGCATGGCCTTTAGTTGGCTGCTCCAGCACTTGCACCAGAAAATTGTCCCCAGCACTCTTCAAAAACTTCCTGGATTGTTTGTGCACTGCTGTATTGCCCTCCTAGGAGATGTCAGGGTGATTGAAGTCCCCCATGAGAACCAGGGTCTGTGATTGGGAAACTCCCACTAGCTGTTTGAAGAAAGCCTCATCCACCACTTCCTCCTTGTCTGGTGGTCTGTAGAAGATCCCCAGTATGACATCGTCCTTGTTGCTCTCCCTTCTGGCACTAACCCAGAGACCATCAACAGGCCTATCTCCAGTTTCATACTGGAGCTCTGAGCTATCATATGGCTCTTTTACATAAAGTGCAATGTCTCATCTTCTCCCTTGCCTGACCTTTCTGAACACTTTGTACCCCTCCATGACAATGCTCCAGTCACACAAGCTATCCAACCAAGTCTCTCATTCCAATCATGTCATAGTTCCTGGACTGTGCAAGGGCTTCCAATTCTTCTTGCTTGTTTTCCAGGCTCTGTGAATTTGTGTACAGGCACCTGAGGTAACTAGGGGATTGCCCTGATTTCTCAGGAAGTATGAGAACACCTTCCCTGTTGCCCCCTCCTGCTTGCTCTTCCTCCTGGTCACACACTTCCCCATGGCTTTGGTCTCCATCACCCAGTGAACCTAATTTAAAGCCCTCCTTGTTATGTTAGTAAGCCTGTCTGCAAAGATACTCTACTCTGTCTTCGTCAGATGGATCCCATCTCTTCCCATCTCTCCCCATTCTTGGAAGAACATCCCATGGTTGAAGAAAACAAATCCCTGCTGGTGACACCACCTGTGCAGCCAGGTGCTGATCTGCCAGATGTACCTGCTCTTTCCCAGGCCCTTTCCCTTGACCAGAACAATTGACAAGGACACAATCTTAGCCTCAAACCCCTTCACCCTTGCACCCAGAGTCCTATAGTCACTTTTGATACTCTCAGGGTCTCTCCTGGCAGTATCATGGATGAGCAGCATGAGGGCCAGATGAGCCTCAGTAGTCCCTCTGTGACATCTTGGATCTGGGCTCTAGGCAAGCAGCAGATTTCTTGAGATAACACATCAGGTCAGAAGATGATTCCCTCTGTCCCCCACAGAAGGTAGTCTCCAACCACCACCACCCATTGTTTCTTCTTGGTGGCTGTCATCTTGATCCTTCCCACCTTGGTGAGGCCTGTCTTTTCATCTTCCACCAATGGAACATGCTCCTCCCTCTCTGCTGCTAGGGCTGCATATGTGTTCTCCAGATGAACCACTACAGGTGAATATCTCTGTTTGCTGCCAGAACTGACAAGCTGGCAGCTTTCACCCCCTTGGGTGTCCATATCCTCTCTCTTTTCTAGCACTGCATCAGGCATTTCTTCCTCCACAGTCCTGGAGGTCTCCTACAGCATTGAATCAATGAGCTCCTCATGGTAGGGGATGCTTCAGAGCCTCACCATGTCCTCCTGTAGTTTTCCTGCCTGTTCCCTTAGAGACACCACAAGAATGCACTGCTCACACCACAGGCACTCCCTGACCTGGCCATTACTGGAAGGAACCTGCAAGCTGCAGTCCCCACAGCACTACACCTGGACCTGGGTGGAAGTGCCAATGGTGAGCGGTCTTGTCTGGACAGAAACCTCACAGGGGCAAGAAGTGGCAGTGGCTCTGGCATAGCAACATCCTCCAGTCATTTCCCTGGGTCTCTTAATTTGCCTTCTCTCTCATACTGCTCTTCTTCTAAGCACTCCTTCCCTAGCAAACTCATCTGGAAGCTGACCTGTTTATTGCTTGTTGGCCATGAGGGGGTCCTTTTTTTTCCTGCTGCCTCATGCTAAGCTGAATGGTATCCCCCTCAAAAAAGCAGGGTGGGGCATGAACTGAACCAGCCTGTGAACTGCCTGCAAACTGCTAACTCTGTTTGCAGCCCCTGTTCACTGGCTCCCTGATCACTGGCACCAGGGCTTAAAGGGCTTAAAAGGGCTCCAGGGCTTTAAAAGACTACAGATTCTAATTATTTTTTTCTTATTAATCATTTTCAAAATAATTTATCTTCCCATCTAAACTAATTCAATTTCTTTCAAAACAATTGTTTTTCATTATAGTTATTGGTCAAAAATGTTGCCTACTTTTAAATAAATGTAGGGTAAATTTAGCAGTATGTCATGAAGTTTTAACAGTGCATTATATTTTGCCATGTTAAACCAGATTTCATGATGAAATAGAGTGAGCTTAGCCTTTATTTGTCTTTCAATGTTACTACATTCCATTGTCTCAATGCTTTAATCATAAAAATCAAGAGACCTCTTCCAGCTAGGTTTCCTTTGCTGTTTTAAGCCCCAATATTAGATAGTCCATATAACCCCTAAAGAAGACTTGATGTCACCCAGTGCGCTGAATCCTGGGCTTGGTTCTCTTCCAGGTCCTCTTTGAGTTCACATAAGAATCAGATATTCTTTGTCTTTAAAAGAGGGCAACTAGGAAGTTGCTTATTTGATGTTCCATCAATCAGCTAGCATTGTGCTGTGTGTGCCATTACCCTGCATTTGATTCTTATTTAGGAAAATTCTTCAAATCATCTGTGTCTACAATACATCTTCCTGTCAGCTGCAGTGAACCTGAAAGCACATAATAAAGTGAAAGAGTTGTATCTTGCAGCTTTGGTTTTGCCAGTTTTGTTTGCTTTAATTTTTGAGGCATCCAAGTGGTGAAATTGATAGGCAACATTTGTAAATTTCTAGGGACATGAATCTGCAATCCTCACTCACACTGAGTAATGCTTTAATCCTGGAGAACTCACGTTGGCTTCCACCTCTGGAACTGGAAGAAGCAGAACAGTGTTCATGGGGTGCTGTGCCTGAGCTAACAAACTCTGCAGCGAAATGCAGCTACACTGCTTCTAGTTCCAGATTCAGTCCTTGCAGAGCTAGTGTGGCATGTCTGCTGGTTGTATAGATAGGTAATAAGGTAATACAACTACACCCTAAATAAGTAGCTTCCAATTTGCAGCTCAAAACACCTTTACCTCAACACTTAACCAATAGCAGTGAAATGTGTGTAAAGAAGAATATATGATTCAGCATGTTATTTTAAACTTTTCTTTGGAGGAAGAGGGAGAGGAGAGAGAGTGCATGAGAGAGACTTATTCTCCTGGGAGAGAACAGTAATAAAATGGAAACAGTTAAAGCTAATAGCCATTAATGTATGATGAATTACTCCAGAAGAGTCATTTTACTACTACAGCTCCTGTGCCTTAGTGCACTGATCTTGCAAGGTGCTGACCACTCACGCGTCTCATTCCGGTCATTCAGAGGTGAGGATGTTCAGCCCTTGCAGAATCAGCCTATTGCTTAGTCCAGCACTTGTTCTCAGATTTATTATAATGTGGGCTTCAGACTTTTTGTATTTCTATAGCCTTATTTGCATTGTCTGTATACACATCGGATAGCATCTAGGTTTATGATTAATTGTGGAGGGAAGGGTGACAGCGGTAGAGGATTCAATTTGCAGCCAACTTACTAATACTGAAGGAAAATGCCAATCAGACATTTATGAAATTGCCTCCATTCAGTCTTTCTCTTCAAAAGATTACGAGGAATCGAGGCACTTAAAATTCCCAACCAGCATAAATCATCTTTAAAAAAGTATCCTCTTAAAATTCTTTTGAGGTTTTAGGTGTCCTTGCCATTCCGCAGAACATACTCTGGTCCTCTTATGCTATGGCTCCTGACCAGGAATAGACAAAGCTCTTTCCTTTTCCTCTTAAATAGCTTTAGTTTGGAATCTTCTGCTGCACACAGCTACTGTTGCATATATTCTCTGAGCTAAAAAGGTCCACTCCTAGCACCAGGGTGCAATTACACATTACTGTTAGACCAGGTTAAGAACACCTAAAACTTGAATGATCTCACATTCAGGCTCATTAACAAAAGCTAAGTGCCTGCTAGGTATCTGAAAGCTGTACCACTTCATGGGAGGTTTTTTTTCAGTTGTCCTATGCATTTTGTGTGAAGTTAACTCCTGGCTCTTTACCTGAAATAAAACCATGAATTTGTGGTCTTCCACTACTCTAGGTAGGGTGGCCATCATAGAGGACAGTTAGGTTATCTTTTATCCTCTATTGATACAAAACCAGACGCCTTTATGTCCTCTATTTTTCTCTTGAAGAGAAAAATAGAGGACATCACAGCATCGGGTTTTGTATCAATAGAGGATAGAGTAGCAGAAAACCGGAATGCCCTCTATGATGGCCACCCTAACCCCAGGAGGCACTTCTCCCAGGTAGACTATGTAACTTCTAGCACTTTATGGTCCTGGACTGACAGCTGTGGACAGCTGGGGAGGGGAGGGAGGGAAGGGGTGCCAGGGGTACCGGATAAGGGGGAGCAGAAGTGGAGTGGGGAAGAGGGAGGGGCAGAGGGAGACTGGAACATCTAAGCTAGAAGCTACTCCTTTCTTCCCCCACTGTCCTCTACCACCTGTATACCTCACCTCTGAGGATCATACTCCCCTTCTTCCCCCCTTGATCACTGCCATGATCAGTCTGAGAGTAATGGCAGCAGCACCAGTTCGTTCCCCCTCCCTGCTTGCTCCCAGGCTCCCTGCAGCCCATATCACTCTATGTGCCTGGATCCAGGCCATGCCGTGTCCTGTGGTTGAAAGTGGGGAGGGCGGGAGAGAGAGGCAGGAGGAAAGGAGCTGCCAAGAAACTGCAGGGTTCAGTGGGGACTGGATCCTGGTGCATGGGCATGGCACAGGCTGCAGAAAGCTAAGAAGCAGACAGGGAGGGAAACCCCAGCCACTGCTACCATTACTGCTCTCTGGCTGATCTGGAAGCAGGGCAGTGATTCTGGGGTGGAGGGTGCAATGATGTGGTACAAGGAGTAATCCAGGGGCTCTTGGGGGGTCAAAGATTGATTATGGGGGGAGTGGGGTGCTTGGGGCAGGGG